ACTGGTGAAAAAATTTAAAAAAGAAATTAGATAAAAAAGAGAAATTGGCTGTGCCATAAAGAAGATGTCAATGGATTTGGAAGCAATGGTCTATTCGGCGATATTGTGCAGTTGTTTGACGTCATTGACTGTGATCATTTTGAACGGTATTTTGCTGTGCTATCTGGAACATGGACTTGCAACATCCGAAATTGCGGCATGCGAGGAGAAATTCGTTGGCGCTTTACGAACAGCCAAATTTGCTGCTGCAAGTTTTACTATTGTTTCTGCTGTTTGCCGATCATCTCAGAATTTCTCCATTTTCTCATATCTCTCACGTTATCAAACTTTCCTACTTCTCATATCCCTCATTTTATCGAATTATCAATTTTTCCTATCACACATCTTTCACTTTACCGAATTATCAAATTTTCATATCTCATATTACCGAATCATCAAATTTTCGCACCTCATATTCCTCATTTTAGCGAATCATCAAATTTTCCTATCTCACAACCTTCACTTTATCGAATTATCAAATTTTCCTATCTCATATCCCCTATTTCACCGAATTCCCTCCCCAGAAATTCCTACCACTCATTCCTTCACGCTTTAGGCGCAGTAGAACCGAAAACTTTCCTACCTCACTCATATCCCTCACTTTTCCGAATTTCTCTAGCTTCTTTACACTTCATTTTGAGGAACGCTCGTTACTTTTTTCAGTCTTGAACTATTACTATTATCACATCTGGGAATGTTTACACACATAACCTTAATCGAGAAAAACAAGATGGATGTTGAATGTAGGCAGCTGATCCTTACAATTTAGGCAGCTAAGTAATCGATTTTAGAAATCATTTACATCAGTATGCATCAAATTGAATTCTCTAAAACTATCCGTTTTACTTTTTTTTAACCTCTTTCTCATTTAGTTTTCTCATTCTTTCACTAAATAATTGTTAACTCCATCGCACCCGTAGTAATGCTCTTTCTAGGTTTACAGCTTAGGGATGAAGCACAAAGAGTTTGTTTTTTATTTTATCGTATCACTACGAACAGAGAGAGTTGTTTCTTATTTTATCGTACTAACAACACATTCTGGATTCACACTGCATTTTGGATTCACACTGTCACTCTTCTTCCTTTTCTATTCCTTAAACTGCATTCGACATAGTTATTACAAAAAAATTTTACTCGAACCTCTGGGAGAAGGGGCAAGTTAACTAAATGAAGAAAAGGGGGCACAAGACAAGCACGCCTCATACACTTACGCCCCAGGTGTGCGTGTTTACGTGAGTTCTAGTAGTGTTTTATGCTGATAGTCCGAATTACTTTAATCGTGGACAATGAAAAATTGGATCTGAAAGACAGGTCTAAAATCGTATCGCAAACTGAGTTTCTGTTTCCATGACGTTTTTGTCTCTATAGATCCAATTCTCAAAAAAAGTTAAATCCATTAATTTCAGCTTCCGATTGTGGGTGTTGTAGCGCTTTCAAAAGTATGCGGCCTTACTATGGAACAGGTACCATCGCCTTTTACTTATACCAAGAGTAATAAGGACACCAAGACCACCCTGGCTGTCAGTTTGAGTGCCATATGC